ATCATTTAAGGTGGGAGGTTATATCGCTATGGGTCAGCATGTAGAGAGTAGACAGGGTGGGAGGTTATATCGCTATGGGTCAGCATGTAGAGAGTAGACAGGGTGGGAAGTTATATCGCTATGGGTCAGCGTATGGAGAGTAGACAGGGTGGGAGGTTATATCGCTATGGAGTAGACAGGGTGGGAGTTATATCGCTATGGGTCAGCATGTAGAGATTAGACAGGGTGGGAGGTTATATCGCTTTGGGTCAGCGTATGGAGAGTAGACAGGGTGGGAGGTAATATCGCTATGGGTCAGCATGTAGAGAGTAGACAGGGTGGGAGGTTATATCGCTATGGGTCAGCATGTAGAGAGTAGACAGGGTGGGAGGTTATATCGCTATGGGTCAGCGTATGGAGAGTAGACAGGGTGAGAGTTTAGAACGTTATGAATTAGCGTGTACAGTGTAAGCAAACTGAGGAGTTTGTTTTTAGCTATAGATAAAGTGTGATTGTAAAGGAACAGATAAACACCAAAATATATTTTAAACATAAGTTTTTCTATAAAAGAGAGGGTCAATTGTTGATTCTATATATTCATTGTTTCAGAGTTCAGAAGATTTATTAACTTGATGTATAAATTGATAGAGAATGCAGATAATGTGTCTTTGAACTTATATATAAATGGTTTTAAACTGCAGATTGTAATTTTGTATGTGAAGCCTAAGTTAATGTAAAATGGAAATGAGAAGTTTTCATGTTACGTATAAGTTGTCTTACGTTGCAGAGGACAACATTTTGATGTTGCATGTAAGTTGTCGTAGGTTGCAGAGGACAAAATTTAATGATGAATATACGTTGTCTTACGTTGCAGAGGACAACATTTTGATGTTGCATGTAAGTTGTCGTAGGTTGCAGAGGACAACATTTGATGATAAATATAAGTTGTCTTACGTTACAGAGGACAACATTTTGATGTTGCATGTAAGTTGTCGTAGGTTGCAGAGGACAACATTTGATGATGAATATACGTTGTCTTACGTTGCAGAGG